TCGATTAAATTACCATGCCCTTCTCTGCATATTGCAAAATGTTACTGGTGATATGACCAAAAATTAAATCGATGGAATAAAGTCTGAAGATGTACATATCTACTTAACAGCTCATTTCTGCAGCGGAAAACCGACCATGTGAAATGAACAGAAGAATGAAATCGGCATGGATTACTTGTCGATTATTGCAAACGCCCTCATTCAGGAAACACTAATGTTTATCTTTAGTGAGTACTTGCTCCCAGTGCTACGGTACGGAGGCAAGAAATGAATCATGAACATGAAAACTAGTCACTACCTACAGACTGCACAAAACAACGTTAAGAATACATGCTGCCATGACGAATACCTGTCAAGTTTCTAAAAGATCGCTGAACCTTCCATATTCTAAGGACCCAGCCGTATTTCGTCTGAAGAAAACCTTGTTACTCTCCCATTATGACAAGGTAGTTGCAATAGGACTCAGGAGGAGTATGTTCGGAGCAATTGAAACAAATTAAAAGAGGAGCGAATGGGAAATACCATAAATAAAAGATTGCGATGTTATGACAATAACTAAGAAATCGAAATTGCAATAAGTAGGACACGTTGTAGTAAAAACCGACCATCTCTGGACCAGAGATATTTCAGACTGAATTCCAACTCACTGTAAGTGATGGTGAGAAGACCTCATGATAGGTGGCAATATAAGCTCAAGAAACATTATTGGACAACGCCGTTAGATATCGCATCAAATACTGGTCTGTAAAAATTAATGACACATTCAATCTGTAATTTTAATCTGGTTTTTATTCTACATTATATATTTTGTGCACTGAAGATATTATGGTGCGACAATGCAACACACTGGAATGAAACTTTTACGATCGTGTTTAATTTAGGGCTTTCAATCACCAATCCGTAATTTAGCTGAAATTACAGTCTAGATTTTGGTTTCATCTTAATTTTTTATTTAACTTTGTTTTATTTCAAACAACAGTTTCAAACATATTAGTTAAATTCGTCATTGCAATGAAGGACTTCAAACTACCCAGATTTTAATTTGTAATCTAAATTTACTTGCTTAATTCAAATTGAGATTTAGTCTGCATGGATTTATGAAATGTCTCATCTTTCTGACCCAAACATGTCCTCGTACCTTTAACCTTTGCAACGGTGAATGCGATGCTGCGAAAGGGTAATGCGCCTAAACCCGCATGCATATTCATCGAACTTCGTTCACTGTCAGTGAGGCCTTGAAAAGTTACATCATTGTTATAAACCGATCGTACGGGCATTCACGCAGATCTATACGTACTTAGTGGTATCACGTAACCTTTCGTTACCGTCTGACGAAACTTACAAATCCGGGCATATGATTATGACTCATGACGCATCATGCCACATCACTCTTGAGCATTACACGGCATCGAGATGGGCGACATTCATTTTAACCCGACTCACTACCACGCGTGGAATTCGAGGGTTGCAATGCTAGCGTACACGAATAGTAAGACTGGAAAGACGGTAGCGTTATTCAACAGATTTCGATGCTACACATTCTTTACGATGGGTCAGAAATGACAGGAGACACGCTTTCCCCTAAAGTCACATACGGAGATGATTTATGGTAGAAAACTCGGCAAAAGTCTTCCTCTATTTTTTCAGTGAAGCAATCACATAATATATGCAATACAGTTACTCGTCGCCATTAACTCAGGATTATATTTGCTCAACATTTTCCGGTCTGATTTGCCACGACATAATCAAAAATGACGAAATGCGATACAACCGATTGTCCATTGCTGTACATTTCGGTCGATACCGTACCGCCTATCCAGTAAGGCAGGCTTCCATGACAAAATCACGTGGAAGATGGTCAAAGAGCAGACAAGGTCTCAGCTTGGTTCTTTTATACAGGAAATCTGGAATTTAGTTCCTTAAAATCCAGATAATAAAGTCATCCTGGCTGTGTGTAAATGAAAGCTACAGTGATGAAGTTCCCAAAGCCGCAATCCCTGAGACTCGAATGGAGCGGCGGGCTTTGAAAACAGGTGAATGAAGGCGTGAAATGAGGTGAATCACATCATCACCGATACAAGGAAAGAAACTTTGGAACGTGGATGAGGTAAAAACAGGAGGAAAGAGGTGGGTGAAGCAGTTCCGTAACAAGTTATTTGTTCATGGTCTAAATACAAAGAAAAAATTCAAAAGCACGCTTTCAAGTAAAGTATAAGAGATGATTTGGACAGAACATAAAGTAGTAGTATTGTTAACTGCTTTCTGTACGTATCTGAGAATAGAAACAATAAATACATGTTTTTCGATACAAAGAGAGTATCAAATGGATAACGAATCACGCTTTAGCAAGGTTATTATAATCCTAGGTTATGGTCTCTGAATGACTCGCATGATGCTGTTGTGTTTCGTTCAGAAAATAAACTGCACAATGAGAGGAGATCTCCATATTTTCTATATCGATTGATATCGGCTAAAGCCCCAATCCACCCGCCCAGGTATAACCTGATTTTGAATGCTGGTTAAAACCGATAAATTTGTTCTATGTTATATTGCCGTACAGAATACCTTGTAGAAGCAACAAATCCTGGAGACAAGTTAAGCGGCGTCGCAGTGATCACTTGATCAACATGCATGGCACTAAAGGTAGCATTAGCCCTCGATCCATTCTTTTGGATGAACACATTTAAATCCTTATTACTTTTGCTATTTTCAGGTTCAGAACAACAGTACTATAACACGAAAACAATATGAATGCATCGGTGACGAAATCTGCGACCCCGCGAACGAAAACCTTGATCTTGGCGATGAACAAGGCTGCTAGTGACACCTACTTCATCCCATGAGATGGACTTCAGCCTTCAGTGTAATTTCAATAATAGTCAGCAGGATATACTGCATATAAAGATAAATAGTTAACTTCCAGGACACCACCCAATTGGCTATCTACCAGCTCAGAAGTTCTGATCTACCATTTAATATCCCTAATCATTTTCTATCATACAATAGACGAAAAACAAGAATTACGTAGAATTAAATCTGTGAACAACAAAATAGCCAAACGACACCTTTGCATCTTTCTGTCGAATTGTGCCAGCATGAAAACTAATACAGAATAACCATTTTGTTTGTGTGTAGGCAGTGGCACTGAAATCGAACGTAAACACGGTTTTTGAAACACAAATCAATATATTTGGCTATTAAGTTATCGACCAACAACGAAGTTAAGGTGGTCACTGCTACTGCTACAGTTCTCTTGGACACTCGGTGTTCGTCGATTAGATCCATATACTTCAGAAGGCACTGCACCGCAGTCGAATCTTTCAAACACTCTGACT